ATGAGTAGTTCTTTTCAGCATGCAGCCACATTAGAGGAATTAAATGCGTGAACTTTTTACATTCCTGCCAGTAGATGTTTATGGGTCTCTTCTTTTTCATTTACTGCGTTTGCTTTTTCATTAGTTTCTTACCTCTCACAGCAACTGTAACCTAAAAATAATGACAGTATGCTATTAGTGATATTACTGATTAATTAAGTAACTTTTGTGGTAAAAGGTTATTAATGGACGAAAGTCTTGTTAAGTCAAAAGTAAAATATCGTTTGAAATGCGACATCTGAAAGCTTGAAGGAATAGGTACTAGCGAAGAGAAAAAAAATGACAGAATACCATAGAATTGTTATCACCTGTTACAGTGAAGATTGCCAAATACTGCAATAACTTCAACAATGCCATTGAGTAGCGCAATCTTTAGAAAACACTATAATTTTAAAATTACTTTCATAAGAAAAGAATGATAAGTCTGTTTCAATTGTAAGGGGTTCAGAAAAGAGGACGATTCTGTGTCGTATTTTGCAACAATACCAAATAGGCGAGATGAAGTGCAGTCGCTCACAGGTTTCATTGTTATTATTTTACTGTGCATACAGCAGTATCACTCAGTTTTAAAAAAGGATGTATTTGTACAATTAAAAGATTTAAATATGGATATTTGTTATCTAGGTGATGTGCTTTAAATAATTTGATTTCACTTCAGCTGTATGAACTGCAGGAAAAAATGAATAGTCAGCGATATTACAAGCGTAGCATTTTTCGCTTATGTAGGCACGTTACTGAGGGTACTATATAATTTAGATGAAATTTGACATGAAGTTTACAGCAATGTGGTACAATAAAGAACATTTTTAAAATTTGCAATCATGGTTGATTTTGATAATGTGTGCAACACTGCCTGTTGCAGGCTCTGAAACGTGCACTTGAGACTTCCTCTTGAAAAGAAATACGATCTTCAGCAACACGGGTATAATCAGCAAACCATGTAGAAGTCCAAACACTACTACTAGGAACATCGTTTTCACAAAAACCTGAAGAAGACTGTTGTTTAAAAAAAAAAATAGTAAAATGTTTTTGACCTTAGAGTTCGATGTTAGTTTTTCCAGCACTCTCGCAATTTCAGTGCAAGTGCGTATAGGAGGGAAAAGAACAAGGTTAGGCAAAACCAGGACGTTCTTCAGCACCAGGAAACGGTACTCATTTTATAGGATCTTGACTACTGGCAGTGAAAAAAGATTTCCTTTTTGCCACAAATACGTCTTAAGAAATCAGTTTAGTTTGAGGTACTGGAAGTAACGCAGAAAATCTTCAACAAATATAATTATAATGATTAATAGCATCAGAAACTCTTTAGAACAAATTATTATCTGTTTTCAATAACCGCTACGTGAAATCTGCTAAAATATTTCATAGCAAGTTTCATGCGCTTTCTGGTTTTCTTCTCACTCGAACATCACTTTTTGGAAACGCTCTACCAATATCATATTTGCTCTTCACAAAAAAGTAAGTGGCTTTTTTTATTTTTTTTCTTATTAAACTTAACGATTCTAAGTTCAAATGCTCAAATATTTTTTCTGAAGCAGTTTTAATACTGCCAAACATTTTGGATCTGTTTAGATTACTCAGCTGTAGACCAGCCGCTTTATTATCAACTACATTGCCTTCTTTTTTATATTTTTTTGCAAATTATGATAGAAAGGTGTCGTGTTTGGTAATAAACTTACTATGGACATATAAAGTTGGATCCACACCATACTTATTACGCATACCAGGGTTGAACAAGCTGCCTGCAGAACAGGAAAAGCGATTTTTGAAAGGCAGTGCTCAAAGCGTTGCTCTACAGAATCTCCGTCTAAAAATCAGTTTATCAAACGCTGAAAATATAGTTATCAGATAATGCTTTGAATTCTGAAAATTACATACACTTTTGGTTAGTATAAGCAGAAATCTTTCTAATTAGAGTTCTTTACCGGCATCGGAAAAAAAGATAGTAAGATTACCAGCTTTAAAGAAGTGGTACGTTACATGAGCCGGTATGTCAACACTAAACCCAATTGACGTTATCACATTCGACATCACTATAGGATCCAGGTATACTCCCCAAAGCGAGAGAAAACCAAACACGCCTGCCGTAAGTGTTTAAAAAAATATAAATGTTTATGTGTATAAATATATTATGTATTGATATATATATTTACATATTGAATATAATTATATATTTGCAGTATCCAGTTTTTTGAAATACTTCTGTGAAATAGGGGCCGCTTCATCAAAGTATTATCAAACCACAAAATTTCTAAGGGTCACTTAACCACAATAGGTTACACATTCCGTTTTAAAGTTTATTTTGGTCAGTCTTATCAGTAATCTCTCCATATAATACTTATTATCAATAATAAAGTGATTCTGTGCCTTACTTGTAATAATTTGATTACAATTCTATTAGTAAATAAAGTTTTAAAAGATGGAGTATTACCAATGGTAGTGCTTGCTATAGAAAAGCTAGCTATGGCAGTAGCAGTTTTATGCGATATGAACATTAGGCAAACCAGCACCATGCAAACCAGCATACATGCTGAGGACTGTGCTGTTTGAGAGATCAGTGTGGCAATGATATCTATAAATTTTGCGTCTTCGTCGTAAACAGAGACCTCATATTCCGGAAACTAAAGCAATGCAGATAAAGCAGAACAAAAATTGTCTTTAGTTTAAAAAATTTATAAAAGAATAAAGGGAGAACAGATTGGCTAAAAGTACTGAAGCATTGAAAATCACTTAGATAAGAAAAACAATTCTAACGAAACATTAAAAGTTGACAGCAGATAGACAGTGCATCAAACAACTCGGATAATTATTTCTGGCATTAGCCTAAAAAGAAACAAGTTTTTTAATACTGACCTTATCAGCAACTTGACGTACTTCCTTCAAGAGCTTAGCCCGGTTAGACCAAATTTTTAGATCATCGCCATGGAATGCAATCAAAAAGAAGAATTTGGTTACCACAGCATTACCTCTCAAAAAGAATTCTATCACTGGGTAGCTTATCGTAATTGAATAATTTGCTGTTTGTGAAAAGATATAATTATTGATTTGGTCATTTGAGCACAAAAAGTTTGGTTTTTTTAAAGTACAAAGCTGTAATTCTTCTTACTTGCTGTCTAAACGGTATTTGAGCGTGCCATTCCAGTATCGAAATTCTGGCCACTCCAAAAATTTCAGGATATCTTGTTGATTTTCTTTTGCTGGTGTTGAACCGCTATAGAACCTAAAAGTGCTTTTAGTAAACCAGATAAAAAACCTGAAATGTTGAATTCTTTTTGAAATGAAAAGGCAACAAGATGCGTATCACGTTCGCATATAATAGGCTATTCATCTTTAAAGCAACTTCTAACTCTAAGAAACTTTAAGGAAGAATTATTTAGTTTTAATTAAAATAAGCACTTTGTACTCCCAGCTTCAGAAGATTGATCCGCATCAAGTACAAAATCTTCATAGTCTCGTAACCAAAGCTTAGTTGAAAATCGTCCTAAAGCTTTCGGCATACTTTCAAAAGCCTCGACCTAATAATAAAAGTGTAAGCGCTTATGGAATTGTCGATTCAGCAACTTGTGTTTATTGCTTTTTTACTGAAAAAAGTAATAGTCAAGCCTTACTAGTTTATGAAGTTTCCTTAAATTCTTCGGATCATCAATATTTCCTGGATTGTTTACAAATACTAAGCATGGTGAATAAGATGGTGTAATGTAAGTGTTTCTAACACGAATTGCCTAGAATTAACAGTTAAAACAGTCATCAAATTTTGTAAAGTATTATTTTTTTTTTATCTTAGAAAATCCAGATTAGTCTATTTTCATCATAATAGTTAAAGCAGGTATTAAAGTAAAGATCAGTGTTTTACTAAAAAATTTTGAAAAATCTGCCAAAAAAATGAAAAAAAAATTTGCTATATTTTTGACTGCAAACATCTCTTATTAAAATTATTTACGTTGAGAAGCAGAGATAGAAACGATTTATCATTGTCATTGCAAAAATTTGTTTATGTGGGTTTGAGCCTTGAAAAACATCGCACTGCAGAAAAAAGAGGCAACCGTGAAATTTTCATTTATAGATCACTGAAAGCATTACCTGCAGAATATCTGAATCAGGAATAAATAAAACTTCAGGTTTTATTTCAGTATGTGTCGTGATTGTACCATATAGCGACAGTGACCAGTAGAGAATCAGCAAGGCAACTACTAAAACCATAGAAGTTGGCGAACATACCAGTCGACAATAACCTTTCACAGCACTGCAAAATTAAAGAACAAATACAAAACTGTAGCCGCACTACAACAAGATGCGGTCTGTTACTTCTCCAATACCGTTTGCAACTATAAGCACCTTTAATCTCAGAAGAAAAACTGGAAAATAGCGCGATTTCAAAAGCTTTTCAATAGTTTTTGCCTTCTTCGTTATCAGAGCTTCCAATGCGAAAGAATTATGGTATGCAAGATGTTTATAAAAAGAGCTGCTTATGCTCTAAATTTAGAGAAATGCAGTATCGCAGGAAGCATAGCGAAACTTTTGAAACACTGCCTGATAACATTGGAATTCATAACAGCAGAAATTTTCATTCGATTCTTTTCCAGTCTTGTTCTTCGCCTTGATAAATGCTACGATAAAAGATTTTTTGCTAAGGTTAAATAAAAAAAGAAAGGGAAAAATGAAAAACCGAAAAGAGATTTGAGAAAGAAGCAAGCAAACGTCAATTTTGGTACTTTTTGAAAACATTGAAAAGTGCGATAAAATTCATTTGGTAACTATACTGCACCTGAATTCCGAACTAAGAACAAGGGAATATTGGTAAATTACATCTGCATTCTGTAACCTGGTCTTAATCGCAACTGTTAAATCAGCACTTCTTTATAAAATATCTTTAGAAATACACTATCGTTATCTTTGATAAATAGAAATTTTCAAAAATACTATTTTTTTTCTTAATTTACATTTTTTTTCTAGGCTACCTTCAAATAATTTTATGATTTTTGCAAAAAAAAAGTATCTTTGAGTTTTTATATGGCAGCATCACTGCAAAATACAGATCAGCAAAAAACTGCTCAATTAATCAAAATCAGACTAATTTAAGTTGACAAAAGAATTGAAAGAAAGCAAAAAAGAATACGACGATAGAAATTGTGTAAAATGCAGAAGAAAAATCACGTTTTTCTTTTTTTTTTTTTTAAGTCAACTCTTCTCTCTACGTTGGAATCTTTCAATAAGCAGAAGATCTGCTAATTGAAAATTTTTCAAACAGCACTAAAAATAAATTTTTTTAGTGAGTTTAGTAGACTAATTAAGCAGTGATGCTTTTAGAACCGCAAAATAGTATAAATCGAAAAAATTAAGCTGAATATGCATGAAAATAAACGTGTTTATTAACAAGAAAAAATTTTTTTTCTAATTTTTTCTCATCTAAAATAGGTGAACAATAAAGTTTGAAAAGTTTCTGCAGCTTATGTTGAAAATTTTTTTAGAATATTACTTTCTTATGCGATTGCGAAAATCGCTTTGCGTATCCTGTTGATTGTCCACAATCTTCACCTTGCAGTTAAGCATCTTCTTCTCATTTTCCACCTCATTTCTGCACATAACAGCCATTACAGCAGTGAAAAATGTTATCTGAAAAAAACATGATTTGTTCCTGAAACTGAAACAGTACTGAAAATTATATTTACTTATACCGTTGAAAAAATTTATAAATTTTTACAGTTACAGTTTTGATAAGCTGTTGTTTGTAACAGTTTATTACCATATTGCTTTAAAAAAGTCATTACAACTATTTAATCACAGTAAGAGATTAAGTCACTTAATCAAGTTTTGCATTTCACTAAATTTGGTTAAAGACTACGAGTTGCAGTAGCAAAATACAATTGTTCAGGAACACTTAGCAAATGATAAACTGAATTTTTCTTTTTTATAAAGTATGTTAGCCAGTTTAGCAGCGATAAACAGATGTAACGATAGCATTATTTCTTGATAAAAAGCCTAGTTCAAAAGACAGTAAAACAGTTTGCTAACAGTTGCCTGAACAAAATCTGTCTCAAACACAAAGCAAACCTGGTAAAAAAAGTCAACAATCATTGCCAAAGTATTTCCAATACAAAAAAGACGAATTTCGGGAGTCGGTGTCAGAATTCCTATTCCGAATGCCAGAACGTTTGTCAAAGAAGTTATGGTTATTGATGGACCTGAAAAGAGCTATCATTGCTAACAAAATACTTGTATAAATCACAGAAAGCTGCTGTTTTTTCATTTTTCATTCCTGTTAATACAATTTTTTATCGGCGTACCAACATCTTCCAAAGTCATTCCTAGGCGAGTTCCAATTTCTGTTTCTACTGGATTACCATGCGCGTCTCGTTCCGGATAGAGCCTTTAAGACAATAGCATTTCAGTTTAAATGAGTGTGTTTGAGAAACATCAAGTTTGTCTCTTTCTTTTATGCCTTATAATAGAAAATATCAAATGCTTCTGATAAAGTGTAATTGTCGTTATGCAGGAAAATTCTAGACATTGTTGACAAGTTATGCAAATTTTGTAAACCAGCTCTCGAGCCTGAGCTGTCTCTAAGCATCACTTGATTATGTGACAGTTTAAACGATACAGCGATAGCAAATGATAAGACAGTGCTCACACCTATTTTGAAAAATAAAGCAGTAAAAGTTTTGCATATAAGTGATATTTGTTTCACTCACTGTTTCACACTTAGCTTTTACAAGGGTTGGCAGGCAAGTAAAATTTTAGAAAATAATGCTTTCAAAAAATAAGAACTGATTTAAAGAAAACGTTTTTTAGCAAACATAGATTATTTAGACCAAAACTTTTTTTTTATTTGTTAGAACCTTTAATGTCTTGCAAATAGTGAGACCTAAAATTATCAAATTTGGTTTTTACGCACCTTAATGAACGATTCAAACGTTGCCATGCATTGATCACTAAATATGAGTCATCGACGCCAATTGCCAGTATCAGAAATGGGGTAACACAAAGTATAGTGCCAAATCGAACACCTAGCCAGAACAGAGCTCCTAGTGCTGTACTTGCAGCCATATACGGGCATATGCATGCAATAATTGCCAAAGGAATCTGAAATTTTTTTGATTTTAATATTGCTTGAATTTCTTTAAATTTTTTATTTTAAAAAAATTTTTAAAATCAATTTTTACTTTACTATTAAACAGTACCTTTCGATTGTTCATTTGTAACATAAAAACTGCACTTATAGTAACAGTTGTAGAGGCGAATATACACATGATAATAAAGCCAATAACAATATTTGGAATCATTAAAAGACCGGTTCGAACAATTTCAGCTGTTAAATAAGCTGGAGTAAATACAAAAGCTGATACATATTGCGATGAGAAATTTCTGCAAAACATGTCAAAAAATTTATTCAATCTTTATTAAAATTTTTTTACTGCAGTTAGCGATCAGTATGCTTAATAAATTATTTTCTATTAGTAAAAAGTTCCTTGCAGTTCTTTCAATGAGGAAAAATAAATAGTTGAATAATTAAATAAATAAAAATAAAAAAAAATTGTTTTGTTTTGAAACTAACTTTTTAATGAAATCTACAACTGCAAATTCATAATTCTTGGCATCTTTAGCAGTGCATTCTGACGGTCTTTTAGCTCGTAATTGAATAACAGCAATTTTTACATCTTTTAAATTATTCATTATTTGCTTCTAAATAGAAAAAAGAAAAAAAATCAAGGTTGACTATTATTAATATATCACAAATTATTCACAGTAATAATACTTATTTACTTTCAAAAACTGTTTTAACAAATCATTATAAGTTTTATAAAATATATATGTATTAAAAAAAAATTTTTTTTCTTTTTTTTGAACAGTTTTATGTAGATTTCGTAGCTGACAAAAAAATTTTACATCTTTATCGTTTATAATTGGCCCTTCTTTAGTTGAGCTGATTTCATTGAATGTCATAACTCTTTGTTGGCCTTTATCGTCAATAACTTCCACCTGTTAAATGAATACTTCTTTGTAATTTGCTTTTTGATACCAGCAACTTTTTCTGTTTTAAAAAAAAAACTTCTTTAGTGATTAGAGTTTGATATAAGTTCAAATGTTGACCTACGATACATAATTGTTTGAAAATAAAAATGAAATAGTTTTTGCAAATAAAGGTTTAAGCATTTCTACAAAGTTTTTTCTCTCTTACTGACCAGCTCACTGTTCGTTGTTCAATTACATTGATGTAGGTCGAAAAAACTTTGTAACTTTTTACCAGTTTGATCTAGAATTTTTTACCTTTATACCAAAAAATGCTGTATCCAGATAAAATCGTCTACCAAGTACAGTAGTTTCTGGATACCCTAGATCGATAAGAGGCGATAGTGAACTGCTGTTATCTTTCAAAACACGAAGACCATTCTGGAAAGCAATAGGTTTCTATTTTTTATGATGTTTGGCACGACATTCTATAACCGTAGTGTTGGTTGGACTAATTAGATGTGATTTTACTTGAACACTACAACAGTTTTTCAGTCAATTTTTGCTCTGATTTTTTAAGAATTTACAAAAGCTAAATAGATTTTTTATGGAAAAAATTTTTTTGACTACTGGTTAGGTCTAAAATTACAGTGAATTATCCTGAGTCAGTAAAGTTTTGTTTGAGCTAAATTCTACACTTTGTGTTTGTCAACATATTTTTGTAAACAACATTCAGAGGTATAAATTTTCTGTTTGAGCAAATATACATTTGATAAATTAGAAGCTGTAAGATAAAAAAATTTTTACATAAACTTGACGAATAGGTTCGTTAATGTCACAGAAACTAGAACAAAATTTTGAGAATGGCAACGATAAATTGCTGTTTTCAGACTTTAGCTCTATGTCGTATAGCAAACTGTCCAGTAACTGCAAAAAATTATTGGAATGAATAATCAGAACGGTTGATAATTGAACAAAACTAATATTATTTTAGAAAAGAGGAGGAAATGCAGTAAAAAGTGCGCTTTTCTTTCAAAACTTACTCGAACTGTGTCTGCGAGTGGAGAAACACCAAATATAGAACCTTCATTTTTTGCCAAAACCAATATGTATATGGCAATCGGATCTCCATCTTCATTAAAAAACTCTTGATAAACCTTCAAATCACAGAAAAAGTTACTTGATTTTTTTAAATGTGTTTATACAATCAGCTGATCCTTGCGATTAGTTGCTGTTTTTTTTTTTATTCCGAACAACAGAGGTATACACAGTGTTTTGTGGTTCAACTTAACGTTACAAAACAAAAGTATCATTTATTCCAATAACAGTTACAAAAAACAATAATAATAGTTGTAATTCCTCTTTAACTTGCAATCTGTTTTCCAAAATTTGTTCTACAGTTAAAAAGAGGATAAGACAAACCTTTGTTTCAGCTCTAGCTCGGGCTGAATTTGGTGTATAATCGGTGATATCGTTGGTCATTTCGGTGAACGGAATAATTGATGTACAAAAAGCAGTCAGCAAACACGTGAGAACAATAATCGTCCACGGTGCATAAGCGATCCATCGTCCAAGATTTCTGTAATTTTTTCAGCTATTTTATTCATTCTTTTTTCTGAAGTAATCAATTTGTAAAAAAAAAACCTTCTTTTACAAAAGCAATAAATAGTTATGGTTTGCAAACAAAGAAAAAGCGACCTTATAGTCTGCAATTTCTACAACACTAATTTTTCAGTAAAATGACTTTATCTGAACACCGGAAGAGCAAAAATGCAAAATTAAATTGTTGAACAACAACAACAAAAACAAAAAAAAGAAACCAAAAAAAGCAGCAATTAATTGAAAGTTTTTTTAAATCAACTTTCGAAGCAACTTTTCGTTAATTTAGTTTCTTTTTATTAAGTGCACTAAAATACGATCTAAATGTTTCTACCAACTTTTTCATAAATGTATTTAAAAAAATCGATAAATTTTCAAAAAAAATTTGTAATTTTCGAATAAAAATCGACTTCTTTTTTTTGGAATTACTAAAAAAAGTATTTTATCTGAAAAACTGTTCAGAATTTGTTTTTTCTGTTCTATTTTTTCAACTTTTTTGGTAACATAAATTGAACGTTTCCGTGCATTTTTGTGCACTACACATCTCCAACACCAGAAAAGAAATTATCAAAAACAACTTTTTCAAATAATACACTTATATTAAGTCTTAAAAACATAAAGATTGTCCTTTTTTTTTTTTTTTTTTTTTTTTTTTTTTTTT